TCACATACACTAGAACAATATTATATATTTATAATCAAATCAAGTGATTAGTTCAATTTGGAAAAAGAATTTTGATTAAGATCAAAGAAATTTTCAGTTTTGTATTATTCTTTGTAGCTTTAACTCTTAAACTAACGAAATTTGTTCCTTATTAAAATAAGAATAAAATTATTAGAAGATCAATCCTCAAAGATTAAAAATGTAATAATTTAGTTCTAAGAGTTTAAAAATTAAAAAAGTTAGTAAACTAAAAAGAATTAATATATAACTTTTTCACATACATTAGAACAATATTATATATTTATAATCAAATCAAGTGATTAGTTCAATTTGAAAAAAGAATTTTGATTAAGATCAAAGAAATTTTCTTAATTGAATTAAGATAAAAATTTAAAAGATTACAAACATATAGCCAAGAAAATTTTTTTAATTTTAGTCAAATTTCTTTCTTTATATTGAATTAATCACTCAATTTAATTGTAGATATCTAATACTGCCCTAGTATATGTGACAAAGTTATCTACTAATTATTTTTAATTTACTAATTTTTAAAATTTTAAACTTTTAAAAATAAATTATTACATTTTTAATTTTTGAGAACTGGTCCTATAAATATTTTGTTTTCATTTTAACAGAGAGTTAATGGATTTCATTAGTTTAGAGCTTAAAATATTCAAACGTTTAAATTTAGAGGCTAAAAACTTCATAGCATGAAATAAGGAGTTAAAAACTTTAAATTTATTAAGTTGAAGAGTTAAATACATGTTTTAACCAAAAAAAAATAGGTCCCACTAGTTCCATTAGGTGAACAAAAAATTAATAAATAAAAGTTTAACGTTTGATCGTTAGGAAATTAGCAATCAAAGTTAATGGATATGTGGATGATATCCAATTAAGTGTGACACTGAACAAAAAAAAAAAATATAGTAGATGGATGACGTTTATGCTATAAGGAAAGTAGAGGGATGACATTGAACATTTCCTTAGTAAAGGGACAATAATGAACAACTTCACAAAATATGAGATCT